GAAATAATGTAAATAGAAAGTTCACACACACTGCATTTTTTATTCTGGACCAATAGTATTTGAGCCTCTCTTCTCTGGTTTTAGGAACGACTCCCACGTACTCTGATAAGCCTCAATCTGACCATTTATCTTGTGGATAAGTCGTTCGTAAGAGGCGGTCTCTAAGAGCGCTGCATACCATTCTGCATAGGTTGGAATATTTTGTCCTTTCCAGTGTCTTAATATAACTTGCTTTGCTGTGGTAAGGGCTATTTTTAACCATTGTAATTTTTTGCTCCTATGTTGACCTCATAATCTAAGAAATTAAGAAGTCCTAATGTAGGTGTCAGGAGTAAGTTGGAGCTAAGTGTACTGTTAATTTTTCCCATAACTTCCTGCCAATAAGAACTTAGGTTCGGACACATGAGGAACATATAAAGCATGTCTCCAGAACTTTGCTTACATCGCAAGCAAATATCAGAGTTACTTATCCTAGCTCTAAATAGTTTAACTCAAATCCTTCTATGCATAACTACCTAATGTTATATACTTTACAGTTCTGATAATGTTAAAATTGACTCCACTGTGTGTTTAATTGTTGAAGAATTTAATAAAAACTGAAAATTTAAAAAAATGTCTTACACTGTAGCAATTTGTTGGACAGACTTTAGGAGCTTATTACAGCTTATAACAGCACACATTTGCAATTTGATTTCATCAAGCATTTAAGTGATCGTTGATCACCATTATGCCACATTTTCTTCAATAATGCAACAAAAAACAAACCACATAGCATTGTAAGTGTTGTTTTTACGAGGTGTAAACGCCAAGAACACAAAAGAATTAGCCACCAATATGCAGCTCTAAAACAAATATGAATAAAAACAAAACCAGGAATGGCAGCCCCAATTTTGCATAAAAGTGCCACAAGTACACACGACAATACTGAGAGGGAGCAGACAAAGAGTTGTGCCAACCAAATGTTGAGTCACTGCTACACACTTTCAGTATTAATGTATTTAAGTGGCGTTTCAAAGTTGAAATGTTCATTATAGACGATTTTTCAAAATGACCAATAAATCTGTGGCAGCCTGTTGTTACTAGAGTACACATTACATATGCTAAAGTATCAGACGGGGAAAGAAGTGATGCAATGATATTTATTTACAGCCATATAGCTCAATACATCATAAAAAGTGTGTAGCTTTTAAGTGTGCTCGCTTGCTTGTTGAATCAAAGAAGCAGAAAATGCATCTTTATCTCACCTGGTGGATCTTGCAGCCTGTCTGACAACACAGTTACAGGACTGGAGGCCATACTGAGATATTATTCTGACTCTAGTTTGACATGTCCTACAATCTGTTCCGATTTGACTTTGGCACTTGTTCAACTCTTCTGATACATCTTTTCTTTGACTCACTATGTGTCTTTTGAAATGAGTCATTTGTCATTTTGTAGCTCCTGCTTCATTACATTTTTAATCTGCTATTTAGTTAGTTGATTTCCGACAATAACAGTTTTACTGACTCGCGAATTTAGAAAATTATAGTAATTTGAGACTTCATAAGTACTGTTATTAAAAATGAAAAAGATTATTTCCGAAGAATTTCATAAATATTATATTATCTTCAATTGTAGTGTAAGATATATTTCTTTCCTCCTCACACCCCATCATATTTAGTGTTGTGTTCTATCAACAGGACATTTTTTACAACTATTTTGTATTTGAGACTTCCTCGATTTAATTAGATTTACCACTCTGTCAATGCTCATGAGAAACTGAAAACAGCAAATGGTGTCACCCAAGAAATAGTAAAATCAAGTCAGGTTGCAACCTTGGTCATCGATGAACAGATTGCACTTGTAACACTGTGGTAAGTGGAAGGTAGGTGATGAGACTAACCTGTCTGCTGATACCCTGAGATTTAGTGTTCAGCTCAGCTGCCACCACAGAACCATCGTCTCATTCCTTATTTTGGTGCCTGTCCGACGCCTGTCATTGCAGAAACCACAGGATGAGGACGACGAGGAAGACGATGTGGAGCCAGGGCTAACTGGAGATGAAAAAGAGGAGGAAGTGAAGGAGAAAGAAAAGCTTGGAAAGCTGCAATACTCCATCGATTATGACTTCCAAGAGAACAAGGCAAGCAAATACTGCATTTTGTATTTTGGCACTCTTACTCTTTGGTACAATGATGTTTACTTTGGTTGAGCCTCTAAAGGTTTTTCATTGTCTTTTATCCAGCGTCATGTCTTTTATAACTTTGCAGCTAACGGTAGGAATTCTGCAAGCAGCTGATCTCCTCTCCATGGACAGCGGCGGCACTTCGGATCCTTACGTCAGGGTCTATGTCCTGCCCGACAAGAAAAAAAAGTTTGACACAAAGGTTCACAAGAAAACACTCAATCCTGTCTTCAATGAAACTTTTACCTTTAAGGTAAGATTAAACTGATTTGTGGTCACCTTTCAGTCATTACTATTTAAAAAAACCCAGAGTTGTAAAGTAACTAATTACAAATACTTCTTTACTGTACTTAAGTAGAATTTTTTGGGTATCTGTACTTTACTTGAGTATTTATTTTTCAGCCTACTTTTTACTTTTACTTCTTACCTTTTCACACAATTATCTGTACTTTCTACTCCTTACATTTTTAAAAAAAGGCAAGAAGAAGAAAGTTGTTACTTTTATTTCATTTTGCTTGTTTTTATTCCAGATTGTTATTGTAAAAAGAACAATATTATCTAAATAAACTGTGCCTCCTAGATAGAGTGAATTTATTTGTGGTTGAATGAGAAGTATAGATTTGTAAAATTCTGATACCTTATTAGTTTGTACACAAACAAATCCTGTCACACTCCAGCAGGACATAATCATTAAAATAAAAGGACAGTACTTAAGTATTTGTATTTCATGATTTATATTATTGCATTTGGCTGCAGCCCTCAGATAGATTTTCATTTTGGGGAAAAGCTTTGTGCAGCCTTGATATATGTATATAAACTGAAACAGCTAGACACATCCTAAATTTAACATAAATTAATTATTTTAATACAATATAGTCATTCCTGCATTTTTTGGGGAGGTCACCTCCTAATAAATGTCATTACAGAAAATCTAACTGCTCATTTTAAATCTATACTTTAACTTTTAATACTTAAGAGTACAAAAAATATCAGATACTTTAAGATTTTTACTCAGGTAATATTCCTAAAGGAGAATTTAACTTTTACCAAAGTAATTTTTTGGTAAGATACTTGTACTCAAGTAGCACTTTGTGGTATTTTACACAACTCTGGTT